ACCATCTCTAGATTACTTATAATACCAAATATAATGGAAATGTTTTGTAAATAGTTGTCATACTGTATTGCTTAGGGAATAATGACGAGAGAAAAAAAAGTCTGTACATGTTCAGTACAGATAGTCATATAACCATCTTGGGCCTAACTACATAGTACATGTGAGCAACAACATACCTTTTTAAAAAAAAGCATTTTCGGTTTGCAGTTGGTTGAATCATGGAAGTGAAGCCTATGGATATGGAGGGCTGACTGTATATACTACATATTTTTTCTATACATACATACATACACATATACATCTCTTTTTTGCTTAAAGGAAGTTCTTGTAGCTTCTCTTTGGCATATCTGAATTGATGGCATTGCTACTTTTATTGCTTTGGGGCCATTATTAAGTACAATTACGGTTATTTGAGTACAAGCTTCTGTGATACTGCAACAGTCGATCTGATAACCAAGACAGCTATTAACTGGTGTGCAGCATAGACAGTTGGCTCTCTATTCACAGGTTTCACATCACAGATTAAACCAACTGCAACCGTCAGGTTGTACTTTGCCACATTCCTCACCGCTCCCTATTGCTTTCCGACACTAAGAACTATTGTGAGGCTTTGTGCCTGGTTAGAATATGTTTGATAAATCCAACACAGTAGCTCTGTCCCTGGTCTTTAAATTACCGCCTGCAATGGAAGCTAAAGAGAAAATAAACAAATGGGACTACATCAAAATAAGCTTTTTTTACAGCAAAAGAAACCATCAACAAAACAACAAGAAGCCCACTGTATGGGAGAACATATTTGCAAATGTTACCACTGATAAAGGTTTAATCTCCAACATCTACAGACAGCTTATACAACTAAATAAAAGGAAGATGAATGATCCAATTAAAAAATGGGCAACGGACCTAAATAGAATATTTTCAAAAGAAGAGAGAAGGAAGGCCAAAAGGCACATGAAAACATGCTCAAAGTCACTAATTATCCGAGAGATGCAAATCAAAACAACAATGCGGTACCATCTCATACCTGTCAGAATGGCCAACATCAACAAATCAACAAACGACAAGTGTTGGCGAGGCTGTGGAGAAAAAGGAACCCTCGTGCACTGCTGGTGGGAATGCAGACTGGTGCAACCACTGTGGAGAACAGTGTGGAGTTTCCTCAAAAAACTGAAAATGGAATTCCCATTTGACCCAGTAATCCCACTCCTAGGAATATATCCCAAGAAACTAGAAACACCAATCAGAAAGGATATATGCACCCCTATGTTCATAGCAGCACAATCTACAATAGCTAGAATTTGGAAACAGCCTAGGTGCCCGTCAGCAGATGATTGGATCCAAAAACTATGGTACATCTACATAATGGAATACTATGCTGCCATAAAAAAGGGAATTCTCATCATTTGCAGCAACCTGGATGGAATTGGAGAACATCATACTGAGTGAAATAAGCCAGTCAATGAAAGAGAAACACCACATGACCTCACTCATTTATGGATAATAAAGAACAGTATAAACTGATGAACAAAAGATAGATATAGAGACAGTAAAGCAACAAGCAGACTGTCAAATTACAGCGGGGAGGGTAAGGAGATCTGGGGGAGATAATAGATCAACCGCAGGACTTGTATACATGCATATAAGTACAACCAATGGACACAAAACTCTGGGGAGGGAGGGTATATATGAGAAGGGGGGGCAATGTTAAAATATGTACACAGATAACAATTTAATTAATTAATTAATTAAAAATAAGTAAATAAATTACTGCCTGCACATTATATCAGAAGATATTGGGCCTTTCAGTAATATTTGATGGGCCAGCATAAAGTCTGGATTTGCATTATCCATAAAAAGAAATAAAAATTACTTTATAAGGTAGGCAACTATCAGCTGCCTGTTCCAGTTAGCGAACAAAAATCTGTTATTTACCTCAAAGCCCTTCAAATGACCTGCGGGGAAGAACTAGTCTTGATTATTTTCAATCTCTTAAGATGATACTTTAAAAAATACAATAAAAAGGAATTATTTGAAAAATGCTCAATTACAAGTTCACTTTTATGTTATAATTAACACATAAAAGTACTCTGACAAATGCCATTTGAGTTTTTAATTTATTAATGAGAGAGAGAGAGAGAGAGAGAGAGAGAGAGAGAGAGAGAGAAACATCTATTTGTTGTTCCACTTCATTTGGTTGATTCTTGTACCAGGTATGTGCCCTGACCCAGGATCAAACCCACAATCTTGGTGTACTGGGACTCTTGAAACAACTGGCCAGGACTGCTTTTAAATACTTACTCTCAAATTCTATACTCACCCAGTCACTAGGTTCTGAGGAATAAAATACACTGCAAGTGATAGAATTTTATAAAGCTTTTCATTAGGAGCCTGTCTATGCTGAGTATGTGGATAAAGGGCTCCCTGGTCTTGGGATGTGGGGTTGGGCTCACCTTTTGCGAAAACCTCCAGAAGTTTAATGATTTTTCACAAATGGCAGCAGGGAGTCCATGATCCTCAAATCTCTACAGATACTTCGTCATGCACAGATCTTTGACTTTTTACATTAATCATGGGTTCCCAAAATGAAACGGTAAATAACTCACACACCTGTTTCTACCCCTTGCTGCTTTAACTGTTGTGGCCAGAAGAGATAAATATTCACGTTGCCAGCCTCCTTTTCAGAAGTCATGTGACAGAGCTCTGGCCAAGGAGAAATCCGATTGGGTACTTCTAGAAAGGCTTCAACTTTTCCTGGTAAAAGAGAGATAGTTAGCAGCCACCTTGCAACCATAAAGGAGATGTTAAGAGAATCCCAGAGAAGACAAGCCAGATCGCTAACATTGCTTGGTTCCTGAACCAACTATCTACTTTTTTATTTCTTGTTATGAAAGAGAACACAGAGCCCTGTTATTTGTGTCATTGTTAATTTAGTTTTCTGTCGCTTGCAGCCAAAAACATTGTGAACTGATCAAGAATCCCATAACGTTGTATCTGGTTTCTATTTGGTTGAATCATATGAAACTGGTATGTTTATAGGTCAAAATGATGAACTAGCAGCAGTTTTGCATCATTCAACCTGGAGGTGTGTGTCTGTTAGGATGCTTTGGAAAGCAAATAACAGAAATTTTAATTCAGTGCATTAGGGAAGGAGACCTTGACTCGCTTAAGGAAAGTGCTGAAACAGGTATCCAGAGACTCAGCAATACCACCCAGGCCTCTCTTCTGCCTCCTGCAACCCCAGCTTCAATGCAGGCAGTGTGGTTTCTTGTCCACATCTCGCAGGAGAAAAGGAGTTTCTGCCCAGCATTCTGGAAAATTCTAAAATTCCCACTACATGGCCCTCATAGGTCACGTGCTTATGCCTGAATCAGTGACCATGATCCTGGATGGATGATCTCGGATGAAAAGGTGTTGACTAGTATAAATAAAACAGAGTCCAATCCTGAACCTGGGATAGGGGCAACATCTTTCCCCCGGAACTCTCAGCACTTTCAGGAAGGGGGATCACTTGGAGAATGGGGACCGGTTAGATAAGCACAAAGTCCACTCCAACAGGTCATCATCACTGTAGGGATTTGGAGTCGGCAGCACAGAAACAGACAACAGAATGGGAGGCAGGCAAAGTTAGGGTGTTATTATTTGAAAAAGAGGAAAGGTGCTGGACAGGCAGCACTACTTACAAATATCCACTACTAGTTATTTCCTAGATGGACCCAAAGTGGATTTATTTAACCCAATAACGAAACGTGAGGTAAAGAGCAGAGAAAAAGGGAGTGTGACAGGAAGGCGAGAAGTGAGAGTGGCTCCAAACAATGTGGCCTTCATCAGGAGCCGCAGAGAAAGGTCTGCTGGTGGGAAATTCTTATTAGGAATGTGAGCGAAGACTAAGGAACAAAATAGTAATGACACAACAATAAGCCCGCAAGCAAACGATATAACAATAGAGTCCAGAAGTAGATCCAAGTGTCTATGGTGACTTCGCATATCAAGGGTAGCATTTACTTACTTTTTTTTTTTTTTTATTGATTTCAAAGAGGAAGGGAGAGAGATAGAAACATCAATGATGAGATAGGATCACCGATTGGCTGCCTTCTGTACGCCTGGGGATCAAGCCTGCAACCCAGGCATGTGCCCCCAACTGGGAATGGAACCTGGCCGATGCTCTATCCACTGAGTCAAACCAGCCAGCTAGGGCTTACTTAATTATTTTAATCATTCATTCATTCGTTCATTCATTCATTCATTCATTCATTCATTCATTCATTCATTCATTCATTCATTCATTCCAAGGGTAGCATTTAAATTCCAGTGGGAACAGTGTAAGATTATTCAACAAGTGGTGCTGCATAGCTGGCTCTCCATCTGGCAGAAAAACAAAGTTAGACCCTAGATCATACACACACGAAGCTACGTTCCAGCAATATTAAAGGTTTAAATGAAGAAGAAGAAGAAGAAAAAAGGACATGAGAATATTTGGTTGGGGAATAAGGGAAACCTTTCTAACCCGGAACGCGAGCGTGCAGCCGCTCTCATTCCGCTGCTCCCATTGGTCCCTCGAGGGCAACGTCCCCGGACGTCAGCCAATGAGAATTGAGCCTGGGCGGCGCCCTCGGCCAATAGGACCAAAGCGGGAGATTTGAAAGGGCCTCGGCCGAGCGCGGCGGGGGCGGCTCAGTCGTTTGCCGGCGGCCGGGAGGTTGGCGGCGCCGCGGGCCCAGGTGAGCGGGCCTCCCTGGCGCCGGGAGAGGCGGGAGCAGGAGATCGGGGGTCCGATGGGCGGGCCCGCGCGCATCCGGGGTAGAGAGGGTCCTGGGAAGGGGTGGGGCCTGCGTCCCGGGGCGCCCGGAGCAGTCGGCTGAGGACCTGCTCCCTGGCCCCAGCCCCAGGCAATCGCTCTCGGCTAGATCCATCCGACCCCTCCCTTTCTCGCTCCGTCTTTTTCCTGCTTCTCACGGCTCCGTTTCCCTTTGCTCAGCTCTCCTTCCCCTTCCCCTCTAAGGATGGCTCAGAAGGAGAACGCCTACCCGTGGCCCTACGGCCGGCAAACGGTAAGGGCTTTTCCTACCCTCCCCCAACCCGCATGGTGAGCTCCTGCTGGAGATGAGACCCTGCAGAAGGCCGTCTTCTGAGCGCTTTCTCTGCCATTGTTATGCTCCGAGAGTTTGCTGGTGGCACTGGGTCTGGTTATTTGCAGCCACGCCCCGCCTAGTGTTTGTCGCCAGCTTTGAATCCGAGGACCTCTGGGCTTAACCTATTGTTACACACAAAGGACAGCAGGCTGAGCTGCCAGGGTCGGCCCGTTAGGCCAGGATTACCAGCCCTTGAAACAGGCTTAACAGTTTGGAATTTATTTTTAAAGGCTGGTGTGAGATAAGGATCTAAACAGCTTTATTTTCCAGTTGTACCAACACCTTTCGTGGGAGAGTCTACCTTCTGATTTGAAATGCCACCTTTGTTATTATATTCAATTCCCACATCTCTGTGAGTGTTTCTCGACTCTATGTTGTTCAACTTGCTTATTTGTAAATTCTATACTCACATCACTGGGAACAGGTTTTTAGGGCCCACTGAGACTTCCTTCCTCTCTTGGCGAAGGAAGGAAGGAAGGAAGGAAGGAAGGAAGGAAGGAAGGGAGGGAGGGAGGGAGGGAGGGAGGGAGGGAGGGAGGTGTTGTCACACAAGCTTTGCTCCATGTGTAGGGCTTGGCTATCCTGGAGGGTCCACCTGTCCCCTGGCCCACCAGCTCCCTCCCTCACGGAGTACCGAGTGAGTCTGTCAAGAGGAGAGGCTGAATGAGAACCACTGTCACTTTTACAGTGGCCCCTCCCAAAGGAAGTTTTGCATATTACCCACAATTTGAAAGTGAGAAGTGGTCCAAGGTCACCAGAGTATCCCTCAGTGCCCCTGAAGTCTGTTGTTTGCAAAGGGGTGAATACCGGTATTTGCTGAATATTCAAGGCCTCCAGGGCCTTATCCAAGCCTTCATAGGCTGAGATTTTTTTAATAAATGGCTCAGTATATATTTTTGTGTGTCTTTAAAATCCATGGCATTACATATGTCGGAAGTTTCTTCTTTTCCATTGCGGTGTAGTGGTTTGTTAATGTGAACATAGCATCGTTTGTGCACACATTGGGTGACACTTGAGTCGCTTCCGTGTGTTGACTGTTACGAATTAAGCTGCTGTGACATTTTTTTGTGCATCTCATTATTGATTTTGAGAGAAAGAGAGAAACATCTATGTGAGAAATGTCTCTTGGTTGCCTCCCACACATGCCCCGAGAACAGGGATCAAACCCACAACTTGGGTGTGTGCCCTGACCAGGAATCGAACTTGTCACCTTTTGGTGGACAGGATGATGCTCCAACCAGCTGAGCCACACTGGCCAGGGTTAAACAGATTTTTAGGGGCCTGAGAATGTCTCTGTGCTAAAACTCCTTGAATCCTGGATATTCATTACCCTAGCCTCTTACCGCCCCTGGGGGTGGAGAGCTGGGTGAATGGGTCAAGTTCTGAGAGTTATGAATAGGACCGTAGATGCTGGACAAACTTCATGCTTGAGGATGTGGTGTGGGCCAGGCCAAAGAGGGGAAATGTTAGGTACTGGGGTAAGTCCTTTGCTCCTTATCTCAAGCTGACATGGCTTGTTTATTAAAAAGCCATTCATGTGGGGTTCTGAGCAGATTATTGGGGCTGAATAGCAATCTTGTGGTCTCATTGTTCCTCTTTGAACGGGGGTGGGGTGGGTGGGAGCAGCTCTATAGCAAGCACTGACGTGCTGCTGGCAGCACATTCCAGACTGGCCGCTGGGACAAAGGCCCCTCAGAGCGCCCTGTGCTCCTCCTCAGGCTCACTCCGGCCTGAACTCCCTGCCACAGAGAATCCTCCAGAAGGACCCCACCACCCCCTCTTCGCTGGTCCTCATGAACCGCTCCAATGCCCAGCCCACAGGTAACGGGGAGGGGATGGGGGATTGCCTGAGGGGAAGGTACAGGGAGGAAAATGTTTAAGGGCAGCCTCAGCTTACCTGTTCTTTTCTTAGCTGCCCCTGGCCACAACAGCAATGGGACACCCAACTTAACGTAAGTGCCCAAGCCGTGGGGGGGGGGGGGGCAAGCGTGAGGGTGGGACAGGGGACAGGTGGGCCATGGAGGAGGTGGAAGCTGAGGGTGGAGGAGGCAGGGAGGCAGCAGGAAAGCCTGATCTATCTTCAGCCCCTCGGAAGAGAAGCGGGGCTGAGGAGCCGAGAGAAGGCGGACGCCTCAGGCGGCACACAAACCCTTGCTCAGGTGCCCTGCCTCCCCCCCACCCTCTGCTCAGGCGGTCCTTCACCATCGATGACTTTGAGATTGGGCGCCCCCTGGGCAAAGGCAAGTTTGGGAACGTGTACCTGGCTCGGGAGAAGAAGAGCCGTTTCATCGTGGCGCTCAAGGTCCTCTTCAAGTCGCAGATCGAGAAGGAGGGCGTGGAGCACCAGCTTCGCAGGGAGATCGAGATCCAGGCCCATCTACAGTACGTCCCCGCCCTCCGGGCCAGCGCCCCTCTGTCCCTCCCCCGCTCCTCTCTCATCCCCTCATCCTCATCCACACGGTTCCCGCCGCTGTGGCCCCTGGGCCCCGCCGGGTCTCCATGGCAGCCAGAGCCTTGAACCCACAGACCTGTCTCCCGCTCTCCCTCACCACGTCCAGCCCGGTGTCCCCCGCCTGCTCCGGCCCTCACGCGGCGGGACCCGTCATCTTTCCCGGTTCCTTACGCCCGGATGTGGCCTGAGGCCCCTCTGCCCGTCCTCCCAGGCACCCCAACATCTTGCGCCTCTACAACTACTTCTACGACCGCCGGAGGATCTACCTGATCCTGGAGTACGCGCCCCGCGGGGAGCTTTACAAGGAGCTGCAGAGGAGCCGCGCCTTGGACCAGCAGCGGACAGCCACGGTCGGGAAGGGGTGGGCGCTGGGACGCCCGCCGGGGCCTGCGGCTGGAGGAGGGGGGGGTGCTGCCGGCAGCTGGGGGGCCGCCCTGGTCTGACCGCCCGGCCTTGGCCTTCCCAGATCATGGAGGAGCTGGCGGACGCCCTGACGTACTGCCACAGGAAGAAGGTGATCCACAGGGACATAAAGCCGGAGAACCTGCTCTTGGGGCTCCAGGGGGAGCTGAAGATTGCCGACTTCGGTTGGTCCGTGCACGCCCCCTCCCTGAGGTATGGGGTGCCAGGCGGCCAGCCGGGGGGGGGGGGGGGGGGGGGGGAGGGGGGGAGGCGGAGGGGCGGGGGGGGGCGGGGGGGGCTGGGTGTTCACCCAGAAACATCGGGGCTTGTCCTCCTGTGAATATATAGACGGACGTGGCAATGTCTTTACGAAAATAGGAGACTCGGTTTTGTTGCCCAGATTTCTTATTCAATATATGGGGACCCTCTTGCCAAACTGAGAATACTCCCACATCATTAAAAAAATATATATATATATTTTTTTAATATATTTTTTAATTTTTTTTAAATTTAAAAATATATTTTATTGATTTTGTACAGAGAGGAAGGGAGAGAGATAATTAGAAACATCGATGAAAGAGTCATTGATCAGCTGCCTCTTGCACATCCCCTACTGGGGATATGCCTGCAACCAAGGTACATGCCCTTGACCGGAATCGAACCTGGGACCAGTCCCCCAAGCTGACGCTCGGATTGAGCCTTGATTTTGTATAGAGAGGAAGGGAGAGAGATAGAGAGTTAGAAACATTGATGAGAGAGAATCATCGATCAGCTGCCTCTTGCACACCCCCTACTGGGGATGTGCCCGCAACCATGGCACATGCCCTTGACCGGAATCGAACCCGGACCCTTCAGTCCGCAGGCCGATGCTCTATCCACCGAGCCAAACCGGTTTCAGCTTCCACATCGTTTTGAATGGCTTCCTAGTATTGCCTGGTAGAGCTACAATGTGACTTATTTGAGCAGGACATGCTTGATGGGACATGAAAGTTGTCTCCAGTTTTTCCTTTAATTCTAAGGGGAGCGTGGCCCTCTCATCTGATTATTGTAAGACATATCCCTCGGTTTGGAAATGCAGGGCCGTGTACAAACCCACCTCTGGGGCTTCGGTGTGTAGCTCCACCCCGCTGCTACCCCACAAACCCTGTCGGCCAGGGTTTGTCGGATCCCTGTGGGTCCTGGGGTCCTGCCTCACCGCTGTCAGGCAACCAGGAAAGGAGAGGCCATGTGTCCCCGGGCCCCCTGCCCACTGCCCCGCCCCACCAGGAGGAAGACCATGTGCGGCACCCTGGACTACCTGCCTCCAGAGATGATTGAGGGGCGCACGCACAACGAGAAGGTGGATCTGTGGTGCATCGGGGTCCTCTGCTACGAGCTGCTGGTGGGGAACCCCCCCTTTGAGAGCGCCTCCCACAACGAGACGTACCGGCGCATCGTCAAGGTGCGGGCTGAGCCGGTCCGGCCGGGGGGTTGGGACCGGGGGGGCGGGGGCTGGGAGCGGAGAACATGGCTGTGGGGCCTCGCCCTCCGCACACACTGGCGGTCCAGGGAAAAGCAGTTAAACTGACGGTCCGTTCCTCTCCTTTCTGCCTCGGCAGGTGGACCTGAAGTTCCCGCCGTCCGTGCCCGTGGGAGCCCAGGACCTCATCTCCAAGCTGCTCAGACACAACCCCTCAGAGCGCCTGCCGCTGGCCCAGGTCTCAGCCCACCCCTGGGTCCGGGCCCACTCCCGGCGGGTATTGCCACCCTCCGCCCTCCAGTCCGGCCCCTGAACCGTCCGTCATTCCACCCAGCCTCGTCCGTTTGTGTGTCTGTGTCTGTGTAGTGGGAAGGAGGGGGTCTCTGTCTGTCCCCGTATCTGTCTCCTACCTCCTTTTTATTTAATAAAGGCTGCAGCTTTTTGTAACGATGAGTGCAGGCGTTAGAGGTGGAGGCTTGGTCGGGGGGGAAGCTGGCCCCTGTGGGAAGACCTGCCCAGGGGTGCCCAGATGGGCACCGGCTTCCTGCACCTGCCCTCAGCCCTGCCGCCAGCCTGGCCGGCTCCCGGCCACCCGTCCCCACCGCCTTTTCCTCCTGCTGCTCTCACCCAGGGTCCCGGGTGCTGGGACCTCGGCTGTCCTCTGCCAGGCCTGACATCTGCCCACCTCTTTCTTCTGACTCTCAACTGAGCTCTGGTCTTCCTCCTCCCCCAGCCCCTGCCAGCCTGGGAGCCACTGAAGGGTGCTGCTGCCCGCGGTGGTGTGTGCTGGTCAGGCTTTAGCACAGAGTGAGTAGAAGCAGCACTGATGGCATCTCCTGCCCCGCTACGGTTTCACTGTCAGGGTGATGTTTGTGGTAGGTTTACCCTCATTTTGCAGTTAAGGCAACGGAGACACTTGATCTGTACAAAGTCACACAACTAGTAAGTGGGGTAGCCCGATTTTAAAACTCTGCATTTAAGGGAGTAATGGTATAATGCTGCCTTTTCACAGCAAACACATTTATTATGTACATGTAATATATAGTGAAATACATATGTATGTGTATACATCGGTATATGTATACATATATATCTCCCAGAAGTGGAGCAAGAATCTGTTTCTGCCGTTACTAAGTATGCTTATAAACCTTTATCGGGTTAAGGTAGGACTAGTCTCTTCCTACTTTGCAAAGGGTTTTTTTGGTTTTTTTTGTATTAGGTGTTGACTTTCATCAAATGTTTTTTCTGTATTGATTATTTGCTCTTTCAATCAATGTGGTGAAATACATTGATTGAAATGTATCTGTGAAATGTATCAATAAATGTTCTAATCTTTATTTTATCTCAGTTTTTCGTGCTGTATTCGATTCCCAGAGCTAGAGTACCAAAATGCCACCAACTTGGTGATCTAAAACCACAGGAACTTGCCAGGAGCGGTTTGGCTCAATGGATAGAGCGTCGGCTTGGGGACTGACGGGTCCCGGGTTCGATTCCGGTCAAGGGCATGTACCTTGGTTGCGGGCATATTCCCCGTAGGGGGTGTGCAAGAGGCAGCTGATCGATGACTTTCTCTCATCTATGTTTCTAGCTCTCTATCTTTCTCCCTTCCTCTCTACAAAATCAATAAAATATATTTAAAAAAAAATAAAAATAAATAAATAAAACCACAGGAACTTACTTTGGCAGCTCTGGAGGCCCAAAATCAAGGCCCCCATAGTACCGTCCTCCCTTCGAAGGCTCGAGGGGAAAATCCCTGCCTCTTCCAGCTTCAGGCGGTTCCAGGCATTCCTTTTTTTTTAATTCTCACCCGAGGAAATTTATCCCATTGATTTTTGATTTTTCAGAGAGAGGATAGAGAAAAATATCCATGTGAGTTTGGTTGCCTCCTGCACTGGCCCCGAGGGCTCTGGTGAGGGAGGAGCGTACAACTGAGGTAGCTAACGTGATCTGAATCAAACCGGGAACCCTTCGGTCCGCAGACCAATGCTCTAACCTCTGAGCCAAACCAGCTAGGGGCTCCAGGCATTTCTTGGTTGAGGTTACATAACTCCAGTCTCTGCTCCCATCTTCACATCTGTCTCTGTCTCTCTTCTGTGTCATCAGCACACTACTCATTGGATTTGCACTCAGATAACCTAGGATGATCTCAAGGTCCTTAATTACATTTGCAAAGACACTTTTCAGAAAAACTGCTCGTTCATAGGTTCATTATGGATATAGACATACCTTCTTGGGGGCCACCATGCAATCTGCTACACATGCCCATAGAGAAACAAATGAATGATGTTATAAGGCTGCTTCTTCTTCTTCTTCTTCTTCTTCTTCTTCTTCTTCTTCTTCTTCTTCTTCAAGCAGCCTGCTCATTTCTCTTTTCTCTGAGATAACCAATTCCAACTCTTTTTGCTATTTTCTATTTTATTTTTCTCTTAGTATTTACCATCTATTTCCAAATCACATGCTTCTGTTGCTGTTTAATAAATCTTCAGTTTTTGGTATTTGTTACCTATTGTTTACCAGCTATAAAATGTAAGGATTAAGCTCTTTTACCCCTCTGCCACTATGTATATGTTCACAGGTTCTGGCCTTGCATCCTTCTGATGTAGTTACATCATGCTTTTGGTTAGATTTAGTCATTTGACAACAGTTATTGAGTGCCTTCAGCGTTCCAGGCTCTCTTCCTGAGGCTGGAGGTCAGACAGTGAATAAAAGAGGAAGAAATCCTCTAAGGTCAGGGCTCCATGTCCAGTGTTTGTATGATCATGAGATGCTAGCCAAGTGACTCATGTGGCATTCTAGTATTTTTCTTGCTTGTACAGCTTTTGACAGTCCCTGAAGCTGTCTTATTTGCTCATTTTCCTATGTATAGATCACTAATCCATCTCAAGTTCTCCTTCAGTGTGAGCACTTTGAAGCTATCAACATCCATCAAAGTATCATTTTATTGCACCACACAGGCCTGATATGGAGTACAGTATTTTGTATTTTTCAGGTCTCAATATTCTTTTCTCTTTTTTAAAATATATGTATATATATTTTATTGACTTTTCACAGAGAGGAAGAGAGAGGGATAGAGAGTCAGAAACATTGATGAGAGAGAATCATCAATCAGCTGCCTCTTGCACACCCCCCACTGGGGATGTGCCTGCAAACAAAGCACATGCCCTTGACCAGAATCGACCCGGGAGCTTTCAGTCCGCAGGCCAACGCTCTATCCACTGAGCCAAATCGGTTTCGGCTCAATATTCTTTAATTACCATTATTATTTCTTCTCTGATCCAGGAGTATTTCAAAGGTGTTCCAAACACAGGGGCTTACCCTTACCTGAGTCCATGATGATTTTGTTGAGTTACTAAATTAATCAACCCTGGCTCTAGAGCACTGTCCAGTACACACAGACACACACACACACACATATACACACACAAGATGCAGGTTTGATTCCCAGTCAGGACACATAAGGTTGCATGTTTGATCCCTGATCAGAGCATCTCAATGTTTTTCTCTCACATCACATTGAGTTTTTCTCTCTCTAAAAATCAATTTTAGAATCTTTGGGTAAGGATAAAATATAAATTCATGAACACTGGTGTCCTTGGCCATTTTTCTATTATATGTGTCTTGCTCGGTTACTTGTAAAGACAGGGATATTAATTTGTCATATACTTTGCCAATGTTTTTTCCTTTGTCTTTCAACAGAAAGTTTAGAGTGGTTTTCTTTGTTGGTGTTTCCAGTTTTAAATTGTCAAGCCTACCATCTTTTTCCCTTATGGTATTTGACTTGATTTTTCTCTGGAAAATCTTTATCACCTCAAACTTATTTTTTTTAAAAATGCACCTCTGTCTTCTTTCAGTATTTTATTTTTCATTTAAAATGGTGATCAAAATGGAAATTCTTTTGGTGTAAGGAATGAAATAAATATTTTTTTGTTTTAGTTCCAATACCTGGTCTCATACTAAATTCCCATATACAGGAATTTCAGTTTGTAACAACAACAAAAAAAGTTCATTTATGGGGTAGCAAGAAAAACATGGGCCTTTAACAAGACACTTGACCCTGATTGCAGGAAAACTCATCCTTTCCTAGCTCCTGGCACTGTAGTACGGGCCCTTTGGGCCAAAAATATTTTATAAATATTGAAAAGAGTATTCGAAAGCCTCATAGACAGTGTGCATTTGTGTGGAAATATGAGTCACATCAGACATCCAGGAGTGACCAACTGTTTGTGGCAGTGACAGGCAAACGGGAGGAGAGAGCGCTCCCTGGGAAGGAGCCATTTTCCAGCAGCCGGCATGCAGGAAGTGGGAGCTACCTGTCACAGTCCGGGGGGTAATTAATTAAGGCTTTGCAGGCCATATGGCCTCTGCTGGAACTACCACACTGCGACCACAGACGGTACATAAATGAGTGATCGTGGCTGCATGACAACATTTTGTGGACATTAAAATTTGAGTTTCTTATAATTATGTGAACTTTCATATTCTTTAGATTATTTTTCAACCGTTTAAAAATGTAAAAAAAAACAACAACAAAACCTCCCAAATTACACTTTGACAACAAACACATGTCAGCTGCTCCATTATTGTAAATACTCTGGCTATGTAATACATATGGCAAGAAACAACAGGACTTATCATTAGACTTTAGACTTAAGAAATAAGACTTGAAGAATAAGAACCTTAACACTTAAGCATGGAAAAGAGCTTACCTGTTGTGTTTTTATCTACATTACAAGGTAGAAATTGTTTCTATCTACATAAAAAAAATTGTTTTTATCTACATTACAAGGTAGAAATTGTTTCTTGATATTTCTGTTTACTTAGCTTAGGAAAGTTTTAACGTAATAATAAAAAAGAAAAAGGCAGGAGCAAGTGTAAATCTTGCTCCTGGGAGGTGGGAGGATGTCTGAACCGTGAGGAGGAAGCCAGTGTGGCTACAGCAAGGACCAGTGAGGGGAAGAGAAGGAAGAGATGAGATCAGAGCGGTGCCAGGGCTCTGACCTTCATGCAGGGACATTCACTTACTGAATATTTTATCGAGCGGCAAAATCACATGCCATCCTTCGAGGGAAGAGACTCAAACCTGGAGGGGGGCAGGAGAAAGAACAGCGGCGAAAGCCCTTCAACAGGCCTCGGTGTCCACCATTCGTCGCTCTGAATAGTTCACCTGCCAGGTCTGTGAGCCGAGGACGGCGGTTCTGAGAGTCGTTTTCATCCTTCCTGATCCACTGGAGGCGGTTCAATCCCGATGGTCCAAGCAGGATTCACTGCGTATTTCCATCCCGAGAATCTCTCGCAGGTACTCCGAAGCCAGATCATTAGTACACGTGGGGTTGCTAAGCAACGGCTGTGGGCGTGGCCGTTGGGGCATAAAGAGTCGGAGCCCCGCCCTTAGAGGGCGCGGGTATTTCAGGATCTTGATCTTTAAAGTCTCCCCCTCCGCTTTTTGAGTGGGCGGGGCCACGACCGCAGCTGTCACCTCCTCTCCACCCCGCTGGCGCTCACTTGCGTAGGGCTCTTCCATAACAGCTCTTCTTCCGGGACTTCCTGGGCGCCGTGACCAATCAGAGTGCTGTTTCCGTCCTAGCCGTTGTGGGCACGCAGACCTCGGCGCTCCTCTACCTACGCCTCTTAAAGGCGCCGCCAACGCCTCGGGAGCCCGGGCGAACCAAGTCCTCGGTCCCCGTCCCCAGCTGCAGTATGGAGTCGTCCCACAGGCCGCCCGGGCCCGAGGCAGACCTTCTGACTTTGGGGAGACAGCGAGCCGCGGTCGTGGGCGGCGGGCCGGGCCGAACGCCCTCGGAACCGCCCTCAGGCTTCCGGGTGCCGGGAGAGGAAGAAGCCGAGAACGTTGGGGGCTCGCGCCGCCACCCCGGCGCGTCCCCTAAGACCTCGAGCTCCAGCGTCGTCCGCTGGCCGGGATCGGAGGCTCCGGAGGACGAGCTCGGCCGCCCCGCGATGCTGGGTGGACCGGGGAGCCACCGGGGAGCGCCGGAGCCCGAGCTCCACCCGCTCGGGTCTTCCCTGCGCCAGGACCCCGCGCCGCCCGAGGGCCAGCCCGTCTCCGAAGCCGTCAGCCGTCGAGGAGGCCCGGGAGGCGGCGGGATGGATGCTGAGCAGGAGGAGGAGGAGGACGACGCCGAGGAGGCGGCCGGCCGGGCCGGCAGGTCGTTCTCCAGCCGCCTCCAGGACAGCCGCAGCCTGGACGGGCTGAGCGGGGCGTGCGGCGGCTCCGGGTCCCCAGCGGGTGCGGAGCCCGGCGCGGGGGGCGGGCGTCGCGCCACCATCTCCAGCCCCCTGGAGCTGGAGGGCACGGTGAGCCGCCAGGGCGACCTCACCCATTTTGTCGCCAACAACTTGCAACTCAAGATCCGCCTGAGCAGCACCTCCCAACCCCCGCCCCCTGTCCCCGCGCCGCCCTGCTCGGCACCTCCATCCTCGCCGGCCATCCCCCCCATCGACCCGGACGTGCTGCGGGACCTGGAGCGGCTGAGCCGGGAGCTGGGCGGCCGGGTGGACCGTCTGCTCCGCGGGCTGGGCGGTGCGGTGCAGGAGCTGACGGCGCTGAGCGTGGGCTGCATCCAGACCTACCGCGACGCCGTGGACTCCCTAGGCGAAGCCGTGGACATGAGCATCAAAGGGATGTACACGCTGCTGGCGCGCTGCGAGGAGCTGGAGAGGGCTCTGCAGCCAGTGCAGGGGCTGGCGCGCCAAATCCGGGATATCCGACGCACCCTGGAGGTGCTGGAGGCTCTGTGCAAGTGACCGGGAGGGCAAGAGGGACCAGGCCAGGGCCCAGTAGGATCCTACGGGCTCTTCAAGATGCGTTTAGCAGGCCGGCGTCCGCTCGCTGGGCCGTATGCAGGTGTCTGTGGGGAGCTCTAAAGGCTTTCCTGGTGGGAGGTGCTGATGCTCAGCTTCTATTCAGTTGGCCATCTGTAGCTACGTTGTTTTCCTCAACTCTCCTCTAACTAGGGTGACCCAGGGTTCCAGGTCTGGGCTTGAGAGACATGCTACTAAGGGGAACAGAGGCCCCAGCCCCCACTGTGGCCACTCTGACCCCAGTATCACATCTCAGGTGCCAGGAACTATGGGAGTTTGAGTGGGCCTTGGTCACCCGCCATGCAGACAGGCATGCACACCTGCAGATGGATAACCTCCTGCTTTTGCCCTCTGGCCCCCTGCCATCCCCTTTCAGCCGGACCAGGGTGGAGCTAGAAGGAACGCATTGCATGGTGGAGGGGGTGAGTTGGGAGTGGTCTCACCGCTCTCAGGATTCAGTGGAATTGTGGCTGGTTTTGAAGCCCACCTGTTGTGGAGTGTTCTAATTAGTTTTAACTTGCTGAGTTTTTGTGGAATTAAAGTGCTGCTAAGGCTGAAGCTGTGTCTGTGTGGCGTTACACGGATTGACGAGCCAAAAAGAATGGGAATAAGGGTCCGCCTTTTCCGGGGAGCTCGCTTGGGGTCGGTGCTGGGAGTGAGGTGGGGCACCCAGGCTACGTGGGGAATGATATATATCGGTTCCCGCCCTTAGGCATCAGGCCTGAGGGGAACTGCAGGATACGAATATGACCCAGAGATCCGATAAAAGCAGAAACGAAGCAAAGTGCTCCAGAAAAGGAAGGGATTGTCTTCTCAGGTGCTAATACACCTTATTCAGGGAAGGACTGGGCGAATTGGACATTTTGTCTGTGGAGAAAGATGGGGGAAACTTGTTAGCTCCATTCCTGATCCCATTTCCCACACTGCACCAATCACTGCCACATGTATGGTTTGAGACCATCTTTGTTCCAACCCCTGGCACCTTTCTATGTTTTCAGTTCACATAGTAAGTTCCAGCAGCCACCATGTTAAGGTGGCATGTTAGATTTATAAAGAGATCACAGAAAGAGTTCCTGTTCTGTTTTACTATCATCCTGTTCCAGAAAACACTAGCGCCTTGGGCTGTGCTTCAACAAGTTCCTCTTTTATGTGTAAAGAGTTTCCGGGTTGGAAATGTTATAAACAAGAGGTTTGAAGTTCAACCACTGAAAACTGTTAAAAGAGGTCTTTCACTGGCCCGTACGGGGATCGAACCCGCGACCTTGGCGTTATTAGCACCACGCTCTAACCAACTGAGCTAACCGGCCAGTCACGCTCTGAATCCCATATAATTCTAAGTAGAATTTACAGTACTTATGTGCTCTGCCTAGAAAAATTGGGTAAGAATAAACATAATTCGAAGACTAAATTACCAAACATTTAAAGTACCAGCTACTCTTCTTACTCTTAGAAAAAGGCACAACGAATTGAGGCACCGCTGGGATTCGAACCCAGGATCTCCTGTTTACTAGACAGGCGCTTTAACCAACTAAGCCACGGCGCCTCACGCTAGACGCCAGGGAACCTCTTTTCTTGGCCAGGTCAGCTCCAGAGCAGGTGCGTTAATGTCCAGTGCTATTTTATAATCAATTTTGCCCATTCTGGAAAATGCAGAAGGGACGAAAACCCCAACTGTTAGCGAGGACCAACGAGTGACACGGATATTGAATGTGGGCAAACAGAAAAGAGAAATTCTTACTTTCAAAATACAAAATTTGACATAAGCAACTTGAACCGACGAGGATGGGATTCGAACCCACGCGTGCAGAGCACAATGGATTAGCAGTCCATCGCCTTAACCACTCGGCCACCTCGTCCACGACAAGTTTGTGTTGTTTGCTCCCTCTGAGATCTGAACTCTTATTTCGCAATTTAAAAAATGACATGTCGCGAAGATAATTCATTCCTTAAGATCCCGCCCAATACTGCGGAGCCGATACGCAGAACGTTGAACTGACCGAGCTTCATTCTCGCCTGCGCAAGCTCCCGACTCTCTGTTCTCGGTTGAGCGATCTGGAACTTGCGCCATCTCTATGACCCTGGACCTGCCGCAAAAAATACGCGGGATTGTTGGGCTCTCTCCATAGGAAGGCTCGAGGTTTCGGGCCAGGATACCGCTCCTTCCGGCCCCTACATGGTGCTGCTTCTCCTACTTGACCGCTGAAGTTCATAGTTGAAAATGATGGAAATAAAGAGAAACCAAAAGTATGACCCCGACGTGATTTGAACACGCAACCTTCTGATCTGGAGTCAGACGCGCTACCGTTGCGCCACGAGGTCGACCGGCCTCTCTGCTTGTCAGGTCTTCTCATAATGACCAGATGATGTTTGTTTCCAGGTGGCCGAGGTCTCTGGGATCGAAGAGCAAGAGCCTAAGGCTTACCTAAACTTCCGGCGTGATATTTGCGTTGTAGGGCGATCTGGGCACACTGACCGCGCAATGGTTTTGCGGGCTCCGGGCTCAGCGGTTCCTCCGACCCCTCCCCGGGCATCGGTGGCCCAGAGCTGGTTACCTGGGAGACCCAGGACTCACAGCTCATCAGGGAAAGGACATGCGCAAAAACGGATGATCAATTAAATCATACGTGGAAAAAGTGATGGGGAACGTCATACTGGTTTCCGGAATCTGAACCCACTACTCAGATTTAACACCAGAAAGAGAGAGAGGAGCGGGCATTACGTCCCTGCTGCTGTAATGGAGTAAGTACAAGCCACCACTCATGATGTATTTTTTACCAGAAAACTGAACGTGAGACTGATCTGACAGCCAGTTCACAGGAAACACAGAGCACACAGGAGTAAGTCAAATGACCCGGTAGAACACAGCCTTACATGGCCCGGTGTCTTCAACAGATGATTGCAAGAAAGGACAAGGAGGAAAGCGTGAGGAGGAAGAACCTAAGATTAAGAGAGATTTATGGAGGGAGTGAGGGATACATGTGTAATAAGTTCAATGATACAAAAAAAAAAAAGAGAGAGACTTAAGACACAATGACCAAGTCAACGTATTAACTTTATTTGGACCCTGATTCAAGCAAAGTGTAAAACCAAAAAACAAAACGCGTGTGAGTGGGCAATTTGAACTATCTGGCGACATCTGGAATTTACTTCAAAATAATCTAATAGGGCTGAGAGGAAAAGTATAGAGGAAGCAAGGTAGGTCTCAAAGGGGATCATTATACCATTTTTTTTTTTTACTTTTACACCATTACATTTTTCCATGATAAATTTTTTTTTCTTCTAAGTTCTTGTATGACCAGTTCAAATGGGAGCATGTGGGTTCCAGAGTGAACACCCAGCCACCTGCAGTACCTCCTATGACCACAGGCAGGCTCCAAAACGCAACGTTTTTGAGAAGACTTTCTGTGAACCAAGGTCATGGAAAACGACAGGACAGGGCCTAAATGTCTGCTCACTGATAATTCACAGTGTGAAATGTGACTACCCGATTCTTACTACCTACTAGTTTCTCTAGGCAGGAAGCCTATTATAAGACGAATTACTCCCCAAACTTCCAGCTTGCTGGGGCCCCAAATTTGTCATCGTTGCACCCCTCCGGTTTTCTCACCTATCCTCAGTCTCTTGGTCAGACCTTATCTTCCTGATTCCTTCCACTTCATTCTACATTCTTGACCCACCCTGGTCCAGGCTCATCCCGGCCTTCCTGGGTATCTTTATGGCTTGTTCACTAGCCTCCTGCTTAAAATCTTAAAATCCACTCTCCAGCCTGGCTGGGTGGCTCAATGGTTGAGTGTGGACCTATGAACCAGGAGGTCATGGTTTGATTCCCGGTCATTGATGTTTCTCTCTCTCCCCTTCCTCTCTGAAATCAGTAAAAATGTTTTAAAGTCCACTCCCCATGTTGGAACCAAAGTTACCTCCTAGAATACAAGTCTGACCATGTCCCTCCCCGTGGCTGCAAGGCTGGAGGTGATCTGACCCATCCCACCTCCCCCTGATCTTTCCTTCCCCTTCCATTGCTTCTATTCTGTGCAACACACTGGGCCTGTTCCCACCTAAAGACTTAGGCACTTGCTGCTTCTCCACCTGGAATGCGCTTCCCCCAGATTCCACACCGACTCTTCATTTTCTTTGCAAAAGTAGGTCCCAGTCTTTCCTCACCTTCACATTGTGATTGTGCTTTTCACCTGGGAACCGTCAGGCTTGGTACACTGTCACTGAGGGAAACTTGGCTCTGAAGGCCTGGGCTTTCTATTCCCACGAGGAAAAGCATGAAAGTTACAGAGGGAAGAGAGGAAGGTTCAGGGATGGGGTCCTCGGAAAACCAGGGCTCCGTGACACTAAGCGACAGCCGACAATCCATCCCCCAGCCCCCTCTCCATGTTCCGTTTCCTGCGGCTCCTCTGGCCCAGGGTTGTGGGAGGCCAAGGGGAGAGAGTCCATGCCTTGGACATGACGGTCCCTAAGTCCCCAAAGACAGCAGTCTCCTACGCGGAGGCATCCTGGGCCATAAGTGGGGGCTGGGGATTTGGGGGGCTGGGTGCTGGGGGGTTGGGAGCTGGGGTCAGGGAGTTGGGGGCTGGGAGCTGGAGGGCTGGGGGTTGGGGGCTGGGGGATGGACGGGACTAGGGACTAGGGGCTGGGGGGCTGGGAGCTGGGGGACTGGGGGGCTAGGGACTGTGGGGTGGGAGCTGGGGGTTGGGGGCTGGGGACTGTGGGGTGGGAGCTGGGGGTTGGGGGCTGGGGGGCTGGGGACTGTGGACTGGGAGCTGGGGGGCTGGGGACTGTGGGGTGGGAGCTGGGGGTTGGGGGCTGGGAGGCGGGGGACTGTGTGTTGGGGGGCTGGGGACTGTGGGGTGGGAGCTGGGGGGCTGGGGAGTTGGGGGGCTGGGGACTGTGGGGTGGGAGCTGGGGGTTGGGGGCTGGGAGGCGGGGGATTGGGGGCCTGGGGGCTGGGGACTGTGGGGTGGGGGCTGGGGGGCTGGGAGCTGAGGGTTGGGGGCTGGGGGGCTGGGGACTGTGGGTTGGGGGGCTGGGGGATGGGGGGCTGAGGGCCTGGGGGGCTGGGGACTGTGGGGTGGGGGCAGGGGGTTGGGGGCTGGGGACTGTGGGTTGGGGGCTGGGGGTTGGGGGGCTGAGGGCCTGGGGGGCTGGGGACTGTGGGGTGGGGGCTGGGGGGCTGGTGTGGACAACGGAGAAGAGGAGGTGCCCCCGGGCTTCCGTTCGGGGACCGGGCGGGTTTCCGTTCGCCGCCCGTGCGGGCGGGTTCGGCGGCGCGGAGCCGGGTCACCCGCAGTCACCTGCACCCGGGGAGCCGGCCCGCCATGACCCGCCTGCGGGGCCGCCCCCTGCGGGGCCCGGGTCCGCGCTGACCCGGAGGCTCTCAACGGCTCGCACGGTCACCGCTCTCGCGAGATTTCCCAAGATCCGGTCCGAGCGCCGCCTTTGTCTGTTGCCGAGGCAACCGGGCGGCGCCAGTGCCCGCGGGAAGGAGGCTTACAGATCCCCCCGCCAGCCCAGGGGTAGCCATCCCCGAGCTGCCGGCCCTGCAGCCCGCGGCCTCTGCCCCAGGCGGCGCCCCTGCCCCTGGGGGCCATGGGCCGGATCTCAGGGCTCGTGCCCTCGCGTTTCCTGACGCTCCTGGCGCACCTGGTGGTCGTCATCACCTTGTTCTGGTCCCGGGTAAGAGCTGCGAGCCCCCTCCGCCCTCCCTCATCCTCCCTTCGGGTGCTCCCTGCCCACGCCCTCTCCTTCCCCAGGACCGGACCCAGCCGGGGCCTCACGCCCCCGTTTTACTCTTCCTTCTCGCCCCGCCTGCTCTGCAGGACAGCAACATCCAGGCGTGCCTGCCTCTCACCTTCACCCCCGAGGAGTATAAGACGCAGGACATTCAGTGAGCACTCTGGGTCGGGTGGTCAGGATTAAGTAGCAGTGGGAGCGCAGGGGTCTTAGAAAAAGTTCAGGTGCCTGAGCCAACTCCCTTCCTCTCTGCAGGCTGGTGGCCGCGCTCGCTGTCACCCTGGGCCTCTTTGCAGTGGAGCTGGCCGGTTTCTTCTCAGGAGTTTCCATGTTCAACAGCACCCAGAGCCTCCTCTGTATCCTTTCTGCCTGCGCACCTTTCCCGCCACGTCCCCCCCTCAGCCGCCTAACCAGCACTTTGGGGTACAATGGTGTCAGCCCTTGCAGGCGAATAGAATCTCTCCAGTTGGGAGATCTTAAGTCAATGCAGATTTAGTACAATCCGCAATCATTTGTCAAGCTCCTGCTATGGCACCAGGCGATGGAGATCCCAACATGAGATGAAGCACAGTGTTCTACCTTGAAGAGGAGGCAGACCCTATAGTTCAGTGTGATAAGCAGTGTGTGAAGATATAAAGCACTATGGGAACGCAGAAGAGACAGAGGAAGTGAGGAAGATGGGTCAGGGAAGGCTCTTGAGAATGGAATTGTGGGCCAAGAGGAACAGGGCGCTAGTGGGTGACTCCAGCAGAATGTATCAAGTCACTGTGAGCATTCTTGTGTGGCCGAGGGTAGAGGGGGAGTCTATTCTTACCTCATCTGAAGAGTCCAGGCTGGCCGCTAGACATGGAATAGGGGACCCTGGAGGCCCAGCTGTGCAGACTCAGTTCTGGTCTCTTAAGGCAGGCCTGCTGGCTCTGGCCTTGGCAATTGTTGAGGGAGCAAGACGTGAACCTGATGCCGAAACCGGTTTGGCTCAGTGGATAGAGCATCGGCCTGCGGACTGAAGGGCCCCAGGTTCAATTCCAGTCATGGGCATGTACAGTGGTTGCAGGAACATCCCCTATGGGGGGTGTGCAGGAGGCAGCTGGTTGATGTTTCTCTCTCATCGATGTTTCTGGCTCTCTATCCCTCTCCTTTCCACTCTGAAAAAAAAAAAAAATGTATATATATATATATATATATATATATGAAGTGAACCTGAGAGAAAAGGCCTGGCCTATTACTACCTGTTGATTCAAAGGTTTTCCTTGACTCGGGTGTGTTACCAAGCCATCGGGGCTCACTGTAGTGCATCTGTGGCCCTTTCCTTTTTCATATTTGAGCGTTGGGAGTGCACCACGTACTGGTACATTTTCGTCTTCTGCAGGTACAGTAACATTCCATGTTTGGGGGTGGGGGAAGGTTTACTCCACATGTGAGGTACCAGATCCACTCAAGCTCCTGTAGTTTTTGGAAGTCCTGCCCCACCTATACTTTGAGGCGGGGGTGTCTGGTTTGGGGTTTTTTATTGGAAAGGGCCCTAAACCTACCACCACCTTCCCACAGTGCCCTCCCAGCAGCCACTGAAATAGCCTTATTCATCAGCGTCTTTGGGCTGAAAAAGAAACCGTTCTGATTACCTTCATGAGCGCATGAAGAAAGGCTGGAGGAGCATTCATCGTTCCTGAAAGAAGGAAGCACTCGCCCCCCACACACACACCCCAACGGCTCCATTTGGTGGAGAATTTTAGTGTTAGAGTAATTAACTGTCGAGTCTGGAATTTATTAGTGCTTTATTTAGAGCTTTGTAATGAAATCCTATTTTAGAGTAACATAAAAACCTATAAAAATTTCAGGGGAGAATTGGGGTAGCCAAACTACTAGAGAAACGGAAGGCTATTTTCCAGCCTTGCAGACTGTAAGATAATATGTTCCGCTTTTATCTCGGTTATTACGGTAAATGTCTGGCGGAAGGAGTGGGCGGAGATATGTAAATAAGTGGTGCTAACGGCCAAGACTGCAAGCTCGCGAGTGGAGCATTCTGGGAGGGATTAGTGTATTCCTATTTGTGGCCAAATTGGAAAAGAAACATATTTTGAAAGACTTGGAAATAAATGTAGCAACAGAAAAGAAAGAATCTGGATAATTTTAGCACTCAGGCTAACGTGTTATTTACTCACCCTATCTTGTCGTGGGATCTTTTTCATGGACTTCGGAATACTCCGTTATGTCTTTTATCGTCAGGTAGGATAATCCTTACCTGTCCCTCCTTCGGGAGGGCAGATTGGAACATGATGATTGGAGGTCGCATGATTCGTGATTAACGTCTCTGCGTGATCAGGACTTGCAACACCCTGATTGCTCCTAATCTGATTCTCCTGACGATCTCTCCCCTCTTTGATTTCTGTAGTGGTCAATTGTTTGCTCAAGTCTTAGAATTTTCTGCTTTAGCTGTACTGCTTCTGCCTTAAGCTAATACAGTTGGCAGGGAATTTCAGGTCTCCAGAAATCTATGTTCGTTATCAATATTTAAAAGGTTTTGAAAACTTGAACTAGCAAAGGATCATTTTGTGTTTCATACCCAATTGTATCTGGTGCCACAGACGGTCTATTGCCGCCCTAACCTATCTCACTGCGGCAAGAAAGGCCACCACCAGTTCAATAGCGGTTTTCCTGATGGTCAGAGCTCCCACCCAGAAACCTGGCAAACTTGTTCACAGGGAGCAATATCCCACCTCTGCATGTCAGCACATGGCAAGAACATGTTCAAGAGGTTATTAAAACACATATACCGATTAGGTATTATACATACAAACTACAAAGGAAAAAGTTCTAACTTGTCACAGGATAGATGCTTCCTGGTATAGTGTATGTTGGGAAGATAGAACCAGGGCATTCTAAATAACCTAAAGGCATCCTAAAAGATGCTTTCTGGTGTTGCCTCACACACACATAACCATTCTCTGTCCATATTTTCTTCCCTGTCAGCCCTTCATCTTGAGCATTCAGTCAGTGAACACTTATTGAGCACTTACTCTGTAATGGGTACTCCTGAGGGAATCCATGTGAATATGACCCATACTCAGCCTCAGCCATCACAGCTATTATGACTAATAGAGACAGAAAAGAAAAAAATATCCGATACTTCCAGAGTCATTTAACAACAATTAGTTGTAAGTGCTACAAAGTAAACTTACTCATACTATGGAATAGGAGTGGATTTGCCCAAAGTAGCAGGTGCTGCTTCTATAGCAGCCGTTTGAGTGAGGTCCTGGCTGGAGCAGAGGGGAGGGGAGCATATTGTGAGGAAAGGTGGACATTGGTCAGGAAGTCATATCCCACTGCAGTCTGGCTTTCATCCCACCCAGGGGTGTGTTCTACTAATTTGTGAAAGATAACTTTTTGTTTACAGAAACATTGTGAACCAGTTGTTAAACGCTACTTTATAAAACATTAAATTATAGCCTGGCCAGTGTGATTCAGTGGTAGAGCATCAACTCATAAACCAATCACTGGTTTGATTCCCAGTCAGACTACGTTTTGGGCTCTATCCCCAGTAGGCAGAGTAGTTAAATGTAACACAGTGATTCTCTCTCATCATTGATATTTCTCTCTCTCCCTCTCCCCTCCTCTCTGAAATCAATAAAAAATATATATTTAAAAACAGAGATGATACTCAAAATTCACTACTTTATTTTACATTTTACTATCTACTCTTTAAATTTTTTAGAGAGAGAGGAAGGGGGCGGTAGAGAGAGCCATCGATTTGTTGTTCTAAGATGTATTCATTGGTTGCTTCTTCTTCCTTTAAATTCCTTATTGTTGAAAGTATTACTTATGTCTCTTCTTTGCTCATTGACCTCTCCCTGGCCACTCCCACCCCCAGCACATGCCCTCACCCCCTACCGTCTGTGTCCATTGGTGATGCTTATATGCATGCATACGTCCTTAGGTTGATCTCTTACTCCTCTCCCCCCCTGCCCTGCCTTCCCTCTGAGGTCTGATGGGGTTGCTTCTTGTTTGTGACCTGAATGGGACCAACCTGAAACCTCGGCATATCAGGACGATGCTCTGACTGAGCAACCAGGCCTGGGCCACTCATATACACTCTTAAGATTATTTACATTCATGTGTCTGTATGGTAGAGATACTATATAACGTTTTACTACTGTGTTTCTCTTCTCTATTTATTTAGTAACATCTGATTGACAATTTGAAATTGAGCCCTGGCCAGGTTGCTCAGTTGGTTAGAGCATGATCCTCCTGATATGCCAAGGTTTCAGGTTCTAGTCAGGACACATACAAGAAGCAACCAATGAATGCACAAATAAGTGGAACAAAGAATTCTCTCTCTCTCCTCTTTCTCCTCTCTCTCTCCTTTCTCCCCTCTCCTCTCTCCCCTCTCTCTCTCTCTTCTCTCCTCTCTCTCTCTCTCCTCTCTCTCTCTCCCCCCTCTCTCTCTCCTCTCTCTCCTTTCTCTCCTTTCTCTCCTCTCTCTCTCCTCTCTCTCTCCAACAAGAAAGAAACTGAGGAAGAAATATATAAATTGGCCTTGGTGGGAATATTTATACCATAGAAATTGGCAAATGCAACTGTTGATTGTGTAGATTTAAGAAAGTAATGGAGAAATGTTACTAATGCAGATTCTAGTTAGAAGTGTCTGTAACTGTTGCATTGTGAATAACACAAAAAATTGAGGCAATATTCTTCCAGGATTTGTAAACTATTATCAGATTTGTCCAGTGTTTTCTCATGTTTAGATTGAGATTATGCATTTTGGACAAGAATACCAAAGAAGTCACTAAAGTCACTGAGGAACCAGAAGTTTCAACATCTTCATTGTTTCACTTTTTGTCTTACTTGAAAATGTAAATAAAAATATCAAACAATATTCATGTTGAAACTACATAAATGGATACAACTCCATTTATGAAATTATGGATATAAAAGTGGAATATAGAATAAAAAATTTGTATATTTTATTATTTGTGCATTCTGTTACATATCTGTTATATCAGTGGAGTTTATAATAAAATTATGTACATCCATAAATGGACACTTTTTTGGAAAGTTGGTTATTAACATTTGCCAGCACACTCCTGCCCCTACCATCCCAAGAAACTACTCATCATTAATTACCCCTGTGTCTAAAACCAGAGGTCACTTGTCAGACTTTATTTTTTAAATATATTTTTATTGATTTCAGAGAGGAAGAGGGGGAGAGAAATATCTACGATGAGAGAGAAATGTTGATCAACTGCCTCCTGCACGTCTCCTACTGGGGATGGAGTCTGTGCCCTGACATGATGGGGATGGAACTATGACCTCCTGGTCAACTCAACCACTGAGCCAGATGGGCCGGCCAGTTCTTAGACTTCAGCTTGATCTCTTTTCAGCATATAATATGTTGACTACTCTTCTCTTTTGAAAAAATGTTCTCTCTTGGCTTCTGAAAATTGATTCACCTGGTTTACTTCCTACTGTTCTGGCTGCTCCTCAGACTCATCCAGTAAACACTGATTGAGGACCTGCAGTCTGTCAGTCCCTGAGACATAATACTGGTTTGTCTCCTCTGCTTGTCCCTTAAATGTTGGTAGTCACTACTCCTGGGTTGACTTCATCTGTCTCTCGTCTTCAAACACCAACCAGATGTTGCAGGTTCCCAGGTGTTGGCTCTCTTATGTGAGCTCTAGCTATGGAAGCAAGCTGAGGGGTCAAAGGGCACTCCCTACCCTTCTTGGTTGTGAGATCAGCAACAGGTAGGTCACTTAGGCTCTTCGTGCCTAAATTCCCTCATCCACACTCCACACTCCAGAAGTAGCTACTACAAGCGCTTCAACTATTTGTTTCTCAGTCAACACCAGAAGCTTTGCCAATTAGCATCAGAAACAGGTTTCCTGCCACGCTGGCTCAGTGGTTGGGCATTGACCTGTGAACCAAGAGGTCATGGTTCGATTCCCAGTCAGGGCATATATTGGGTTGCAGGCTTGGGGATGTGTGCAGAAGGCAACCAGTTGATGATTCTCTTTCATCATTGACATTTCTATCTCTTCCCTCCCCCTTCCTCTCTGAAATCAATAAAAATATTTTGAAAAAGAAATAGGTTTCCACTTTATTGTGAAATTAGTGGCTTGTTAATCAGAATAAAGCAATCATAAAAAATAAATACTTCATGGTTGCACTTACATGTGATACCAAGAGCAGTCAAATTCATAGAGACAGAAAGTAGAATGGTGGTTGCCAGGGGCTAGAAGAGGAGAGGAGGGATCACATTCAGTTTTGCAAGATGAAAAGAGTTCTGGAGATTGGTTACACAATAATGTGAATGAATTTAACATTACTGCACTGTACACTAAAAATATAGTTACGATGGGTAAATTTTGTTATGTATTTTTATCTCAATTTTGAAAAATAGGTAATTGAAAAATAAAAATATCAGTGGTAAAAAGTGGGATTAGTCAATAAAAGAACAACTGAGTAACCATCTGGAGGAATTTATGGATCAATACCTTACACAAATATTACAGGTAAATGATATATGTCCAGCTGGTGTGGCCCAGTGAGTGAGCGTCAACTTATGAACTAGGAGGTCATGGTTTGATTCCCCATCAGGGTGGTTTCAGACTTGCCCCCCAG